AATGAATACATATGTATATATATATATATATATATATGCACATATATGTTTATCTATTGATAATACATTATATCATATGATATTATATTATGTTATAATATGTACGTATGTACATGTGCGTGTGTATAAATACTGATTGTCGCGGGCATTGCTCGACATCGCCACTGCAGATCGCTTAGAATTTTTCGAGTTGGTGTACATTCTCGGCTAGGTTCAATGCCTTGGAGAGAACGCCGTGCCACATTCCAAGGGGTTTTTCGGAGTTTGCTGCGATTTCACTGCTATTCTCGTGTTGTCGAGTTTTGTGAGAGTATCGTTCCGACTCGAAGGTAGTGCTACCGGTATATCTCGTGCTATGCTTATCGTTGCTGTCGATTGAACTCGTTTTGCAATCGGGGCAAGCGTTTTTGTTTGATGTTCTTGTGCATTCTAGCCCCAATGATTATTTGATTGGTTGTTTCCTTGGAGCCCAAAATCCTGAGTAGTATGATCTGTTTAGTTTCATGAAAGCTGGCCATGAAGTGAATATGTGTCTCCTGTCTCGTCTAATACTTGGTAGTTGGATGTTCTACTGGCATGTTTGTTTTAGTGCTTGTTCACTCCTGCAAGTAGTCGTGTAATTAAACGACTGGCTACGATAGTACCCAGCAGCATTCTTGGTATCACCTGTGCCACAGGTCTCACATGTCTCTCACCACAAGAAAAAGGTGCTCGCATTATGCCGAGAATCATAAGTTTTTTGGCATATGTGCCATGCCTCTGGCCTTTCCTACATGTGCGCACTCCTTGCCTTTCTCCTTTTTGTAAGTGTACTGTAGGTCAATAATTTCTTGTAGCACTTGAACGTATATTCCCTGTCGTGGGCAATGCCCATCAGCTGTATATACTAATACCTCTTGCTAGCTTTCTTCCTGTGGTAAGACCGTAAGCCGCCCTGATTCCCGGAGGCGATCTTTTCTTGGGTTTGTGTGGCATTGTAAAAACCACTTCCTCGGGTTCAGGACTTTGGAGTTCTGGGTTGAAGGAGTGCAGGGCTCACAAGAAAGCCCGAAACCCTTTAGTAGCCAGGATCAGGGGACATCCGGGGTGATGCCCCTGGTGCTGGGAGGCCCCTCGGCAGGAACTCTCGGCCTCGGCATGGTAGAAGGGGGCTTCCAAACCCAAAACCCTAGACCCTAAACCTACCTGCTATGTCAAATCGCTTCTCATCTTCCTTCATGCTTCGGAGCCCCAATGATAGTTCTATAATGCTCTCTGTCGGGACAGCTCGGTATGTCCAAGTAGCAAGCTCGGACACTTATTGCCATGCCTGCATTTGCGAGTGTGTGAGTCGAAACCCGAGGTTTTGATACGGCTTCTTGCAGTTTAGGACTTTCCACCCTGAGTGGTTGAGCCTGGCAGGCATAGGTTCGAAGGGGGAGCTCTAGGTGCTTCGTTTCCCTGCTTTATTATAAATAAGGGTTTTGGGGATTCCTTATTATCATTTGTCATAGTAAAATATACCTCCCAAACTTTTTTCTACTTGAGTAAGGCCCCTATATTACTCGCGGCCTAGGAGCTTGATGTCGTCCCTGTACCCAGGAGAGGGATCTGCGGCGGCAAATTGGCTTGGGGCCCAATTTGCCGGAAGACTCGTGAAGAAGCTCGGAGACAGAATCCTGCAACATGCTTGTCCTACGCAGGTAAGCCCTAAACGCCCTAAGCCCCTAAACCGTGTGTAGGTGATAAGGTATTGTTACACGTGTTGATATACATGTCGCAAGCCCTACATCCGGAGACCATCAAAGAGCCACACCCAAAGCTGAAGCCCCGAACCAACTTGAAGCGTTTAGGCCCGTATTTTGGGCTGAGGTTTTATAATTGCTACCCCAAACCCAAAATCCTGCTAGGCTTGCGGCAAACAAATGTCCAGCTACATGTGGGCAGACTGGGCCAAGCACCCTTTTTGGGGGTTGGCACAGTCAAACCGTAAACTTCAAAGAAACTTCGAGCTAAGGAAGGAATACATTTGCCTTTGCGAGGGGCCTCGCTTTGGTCCGGTGGGGCACCGTGCAGTGCTGACTTATCCGCTGCGGGTGGTGCAGCTGAGCAGCTTGGCGGATTTTGGCATAAGGGTTAATTTAATACAGATACATTATTTAATAAAATATATAATATAAGATATCATAGTATAATATTTTAATATAGAGGGGTTTGATACAGTGCACAGAGCTCCTCGGAGCGAGGATCTGGGGTCTCTTTTGCGGGGGTCGTCTTTACTTGTTTAAGAGATTCAGGGCTTTATACGGCTACCTACAGGGATTTAATTAGAGGTTATGTCTTTGACGAACTGTGCAGTGTGTACAATAATACAACAAAGACTCGAGACGTTGTGTACGGCTGCGGTGTAGTAGGGAGCTGTTCTTGCGGTGAAGAGCATTGTCGGTCTCTCCCTTGCTGTTGCTGGAGCTGTTATCTCAGTACAACAGACTTCCATGGTCAATGGCTTACTATTTTTGGTCTTCGCAAACTGTGAGGGACCAGACTTGAAGACCATGAAATACACGGCACGAACATTGGGCCTTTGATCTGCAGACTGTTAGTGATGGAGGGAGCAGTGGTAGAACCTGATGCGTCAAATCCCAGATTGCACCAGGCCAGCCTCCTCTTATAATATAAGGGCCTTTGTAATTTGAATAGTGTTTTGGGGCCCTTGATACTTTACGTAGAATAAGGAACCCCCAAAATAGTATTGGTAGTTATTTAGGCCCCAATATTAGCCTTGCATCTTTCGGGAGGGACTATGAGCTCGGAGCCCAGAAGCAGTGGACGTTCAGGAAGAGACAGCTTCCACGCAGCCTATAGGTTCCTAAACATCTCGAATCGTCCCGATCATCCGCTCCCTCCACTCCCTTAGCCCTACTTTAAACCTATAAACCGTCAAGTCCTCAACCCTTATCAATCCCAACTAAAGAGTTTCAAGAACCCTAAACCCCACTAAACCTTATCAACCCTAAGCGCGAAACCGAGGCAAGGACACCTACCAAGTTGAGGTTGCTTCGGCGGGACGACCTGCGGAGACGGCTCTCCAAGTGATGGCATGCTGCGCCCACAGCAGTCATTTTTGGGGGCTTAGGATCTTCGCCGGTTTGGGTTCCTGGGGGCCTGTGCAGAAACAGAAAGGTGATTTCCCAAGAGACAACAATCTTGCACTTGCAGTATAGTGGTATAGAGTTAGAGCTCTGTTGTTCAGTACGGCATGTTAGCCACTGTTAGCAGTCGACACAATGTACGCTGAAGCAGCCGCCGGAGTTTCTGCTCGGAGTTTGGCACACGTCCAAAGTTTCGCTCCTTGCACGTCTGGAGAAGCCATGGCGGGGAAATCTGCAAACGATGTAAAACTGTTGCAGGAGGAGCTTCGAGAGGTGAGCGATCGCCTTAACAGGCTCGAGACCTTGGGAATGTCTCAGGAGCTCCACGTGCTCCGTGACCGCCTTGCAAGGCTTGAGACTGGAGGGATCCAGGAGGAGCAAATCGTTTTCAGCACGGACAAAAGAAACCAAGTTGTACCAGACAACGGCGACAGCGATGTGCAGCGACTCGAGGCGTCCTTTTGGGACGCTTTGTTGTTGGCAGGCCTGGACGAGATCGGCCCAGCTGGCAGTGCTGTCATTAGCTTTGGTGTACTTGCGAGCTTCGGGCTCCAGCTGCTCTTCGTACGGATCGTTTTGACATCCTTCCTGATCAATACGACATTCAGGGTTTCGGCACGTTTTGGCATCGCAGTGACGCTGGGAATGTCTGGTGGCCTGTGTCTTGCTCACACCCGAGATGTCACCAACATCATGCTCAATGCTGTCGCCCTGCTGTTCATTCTTGAGATTGATGAGCTTTTGTGGAAAGTCATGGCATCCAGGCACACTAGCAAGTACCTGTCCTCTGTTCGCACGCTCCAGCTCGGTCCCCGCAAGACATGGGCCATTTGGCGGCTCATCTTCATCATCGTGGCTCTAGAGATCTTCATCCAGAAAACCGTATGTAGAAATGCTGCCCAGGCCCAGGTAGCAAGAGACATTCTCTGCGAGGGGAACACAGACTTCGTGTACTACTCCAGCCCGCAACTTGGGCCCATCATGGTGATGGATACGAAGCCCTTCGACGTCCAAGGTGGCAACTGGGAACCCGGGATTCGTTCGATGCTTGAAGTGGTGGTTGCGAAGTACGACCACAAAGATGTCGACGTTGGAAGTTGGAGGTTCAACCTGGGAGATCTCAAAGTGGTCGCGGAGGTTGCGCCGCCCTTCACGACAGGATGAGCACTTCCGCAAGATGGAGCATTCCACGGCGTCGTTTCAGGCCACGCCTGCAGCGACGCCATGGACTATCTTGCTCAACTGCTCGTCCTGTCGTGAAGGGCTGAGAGAGAGTAGAGTTGCGCTTCGGATGCTGCTTGCCCTTCACGCAAAGAGTCCCAACGCACCCTACAAGGTAAACTAGCGTTGACTTCATTTTATGGCCGACCCCACATGGATGGTCGTGTTCGCATCCCGAGAGAGTCACTGTCCAGATGCGGACTTGCAGACGATGGCGGGTTTCATGTGGTTGGCCACGTTACAACTTTGAGCCTTTGAGAGAGAATCGGCACTTCAGACATCTGGGTGTAACGACCTGTAGCTGGGCAGGGGCCGCAAGAATCCTTCTTCCCCAGAGCTCCCGCATGTGGGCGGCAGGATTTCGAGGCGGTCAGCCGGGTATTTCCTACCGAACCCTGGGGTCGCTAAGATCAAAGTCACCTGACTGTCATGAGGCTTTGAGATGCAGGGCATTGACGAGGTCCGAGGCTGGGACAGTGACTTTAGCCACGCACACGACGATGCCGATAAGTACTACGCTGAGTGAAGTCCGGAGATGCCATCCACAGGACCTTGTAGTTATGTTGTTTGTCTGTGCGTCGATTATTGCCATAACAACCTAAATTAAAGAGTGACCAGCATCGAAACTCAGAACTTATAGGGCGCGAGATGAGGAATCTCTGCCCCTGACAATCCCACGTGAGGAAAGCTTCAATTTCAGTGCTGTCGGCTTCAAAATCAAAATCACCACGATTGCCTCAACAACTGAACCTAGAAGCTCTTTCCCATAATTCGGCAGATTCCTCGTATGGCGGCGGTGCAAGGGACAATGAAATTGGATGGTCCTGACAATCTTCCTAATCATTTCAGAATTGAGCAACACACCCCAGGTGCTTCAGCCGTGCAACTGTGCACCGTCGTAGGAATCGTCGTCATCATTCCGACTTGCATGCTCCGTCTTGTCCTGCATAGCTAGAAGGCAGCACAGCACTGCTTACTAGTGTCTCTCGTCTCATGACCTTCGATTACTCCTGTCAGTTCACCATGTTTGTTGGTATTTGTTACTTGCTGTGATTCGTTGCTTAGCATGGTTTGTTGTTGTTCTCAGGCTCCCATTTCATATTCCGATGACAACTTAAGACTGAACGTCGCTTTCGAACAAGAGTCGGATTGTGCAGGCGCCTCTAGCAGCATCTGCTCGCTCCTGACTCTGTGGCCCAAGACGGGCAGGACACCCGAGGAATAGCCTGGGAGTCTGGGAGTTCTCGGTTTCACGGAAAGGAGGCTCCAGCGACTCAGGTCTTGAGAGGGGTTTTTTGTAGGGTGTTAGGAAGCAGGGTACCGAGGCTTCTTTGCTGTAACCTGGGATGCAAGGAAGACGAAAAGGAAAGTTCTCATACCACAACGGCCAGGAACCCAAATGCCGAAACCCAGGAATGGATGCCCAAAACCAGCCACCGAACCTTTAACCTCAGGCCGGTCCATGTGGCCCGGAAGACCTCGAAGAAAACGCCTCAAAGCCCTAAGCTTTAGTGGCTGAGTAGGTAACCTTTTACCTTTTGGGGTTTATATGATCCTACCATAACTGAAAAGGTTAACCTTTTTGGGCTAGGGTACTCAGCCCCCAAGTAAGCGGCCCTAACCCCTGAAACACCAGAGTCGCAGGAAGCACCAGATCCGAGCGCACCTGGCACACGCAGGCCGACCCATCGTGGGGGACTGGACCTATGGCCGCCGAGAGGACAGATCCCTGACTCTTTGCTGACGGCAGTCTTCGCCTGCAAGTATGACTCAGAGGGGGAATGACTATCTTCATGCATCGGATACTGCTGCGAGATTTTGCGCGCAAAGAGTGTCATACAAAGCGAAATTCGTGCAGGTGTCCAACCCCGCAGGAGACCATGTGTAGCCGCAAGTAGTCATCATGCGTATTCCCTGTCCTGAGATATGTCATGTGGGGAAAGTTCTCACATCCCCACAAAGCCCAATAACATATGGGGGGCCGTGCGGCCGGGGGGCCTTAACCGTCCCTGAGAGAGAGTGAGTGGAGTGAGTGAGTGAGTG